TACAGGAATCGCTTTAGATCCTGAAAGAGAATAATTTTTAAAAAATCATATTATGGTATGCTTTTCTAGCCCTGTCCCTATCCCCCTTTAAAGAATGTGAAGTCATCATTTTTAATTGGTGTTTCATCTTTTACTTGTATAACTTGGAAGAGGTTAACTAACCTTTTTTCTAGGCCTCAGTTTCATTATATGCTTCATTATATGTATACAGGGATAATCATAGACCCTACATCATAAGAATGCTATAAAATTTTAGTAAGGTATATGTTAGTGCACCTAGAGTAGGGAAACACAAATATACATTTGCTGTAAAACAAGATCACGTTGTTTCATAATCATTTACATCCTGATAATACTGTATTCACTTGGGTACAGTCTATAAACTTCTTCCCATGTCCATACAGATTTTTCACGACTGTTTTTAATGATCCGAAGTCAGTTAGATAAACTACTCTAGTATTCAGTTTCTTGACCAAAGATAATGACAATGAGATGTATTTAACATGGAACATAGTTCAGACTAAGGGAACAGAAGGCGATCTTGTCTCACTACAAACTCATCTGGAAACATTCACTGACAATTCAAGTATCAATTATGAGCTCCACCCTAAATGCGTGCTGTTTTGAACCTTCATGTCCAAACCTGAACGAGTATCTTATTCCATGTCACCACCAAGAACTTACTTTTGCTCCCGTCTTAAACATTCACACAAAAACGGAACATAGGTTGCAAAAGGGGCACCCGTTAGAAATCCTTTTAGATTGCAACAATGACCTTTGAGACATCGTGAGCACTTAGTGGAAAAGGAATCGGGGCTAAGGACGAAACAAATTTCTACCTCTCACCACGCAGTAGCCTCATGCAAACCTCCCACATCCCCTTTCGATTGGGAAGGGGTGTCAACTCACATCCGCCATGATGAACCCCTTTTTCCCGCAGGATCAATCTCCACGCCTGGAAGAGAAACTTCGGTGACTCTCCCAGCACCCCGGGCTTAGGACCCTCCCCAGACCCAGCATCACGAGATCCACCCTCGCCCGAGGCCGGCGAGACGCCGCAGTTCTGGGGCTCGTCCGGAGGTCCCTCAAACCCCGCCGGGTGGCCAGCCCCGACGGCCCCCCTCCGCCCGCCCACCCTGGCCCCGCGCCGAGAGAGGGGGCGACCTCTGCAGACCCACGCGCGCTCCAGCCTGGGGCGACCTGCCCGGGTGTCCCCGCAGTTCAGACGCCTCTCGGAAGCCGCCTGTCAAGCCTCTGTCACATGACTCGTGACCTCCGCGGCGCTCCAGGAAGAACTTGCTACACCCTCGGCTACCGACGATTCGGAAGTTCCGGGGAGGCCTGGCGGAAACTGCGCCTGCGCGCTGCGCCCAGAGCCGCTGGGCTTGCACCTGAGGTCCCTGAGTCCTCCTTTCCACCCAACACACCTTCAGTGGAAGAGGTTCCTCTGCAGAGTATGCATACGCCTTTTCCAGACCAATTATCTTAAATCTTTCCTCATGAATGAAGACATTTGAGGAGCACGAACTGAATAGCCTTCTTGTTAGAAGTCCCAGGTCCCTAGATGACCCCATTTTCATGTCTAGAGTCCTTCAGGAGCCGTGGGCAGTGGGCTCATGTTTGTCAAGTCTGTTTTAAACATGCATGTACTGGGCTGCCTCTTTGGCTCTGGATCTGCACTGGTTGTGTCTTCTAAAAACTGTTTCTTTGGTTTGGTGTTTGTACATTCAAGAAAGCCTACTGTACGGGGAAGACTAGAATGATAGCAAAAAGGAGGGCTCTCCAATTGCTTTGGCCCAATGTTTCTCACTATTGACGCTTTAGTAATTCTTTGTGGTAAAGGACTGCACTAAGGTTAGCTTAATGGACTTCTGTAGAAACCCAGAGACAAATGGAAATCGCCTGGGATCAAAATCATGACCCAGTGGCCGACTGCCTGATCTTCTCAGGAAATTTGAAGTTGATGGCTTTTCCTTCAGATTTTCTCCTACCTCGTGTATTCTTAACAGTAGGGTACCTTGAAAACACGTAAGATGTATGGGAACACATACCTAACCTTTGTTTCCAATCCCTAAAAGTAGGGGCGCGAACACTCAAAGACATAGTAGAAATGTTGTCTGAGAGGATGAAACTGTTAACTATTCAGCTCAACAAATGACCCCTTCCTAGTCATGAGATTGTTACAAGTGACATGAGAAATTGAAAGGGACATTCTTAAAAGTCACTTCCCCTTTTCATTATTGAAATACTTCAATTAAAAATTATTATTATTTTGTGATAGGGTCTCACTATATATATGGCTGGCCTAGAATTTGCTGTGTAGACCAAGCTGGCCTCAACCTCACAGAAATCTACCTGCCTTTGTCCAGAGTACTGGGACTAAATAAAGGGCTGGTCAACACACCCAGCCCAATTTCTTACCTGTGGGATACTGCATAACATGATTCAGGTCCCCAGTCTCTCTGGTCTCCTAGTTCTTCCAGTGATGGCATTTTTATTTTTATTATAATATCATTTTGCAGTTTTACTCATTCCATAATGAATTTGTTCTGCACCTACACTTTTCAAATGTTCTGTCTTGGTTTTCTCTTGCTTACTGAAAGTTGAAACTGTTCTTTCCTGTCTCACTCTGTACTCCAACTCAGAAGCTCTCAAAACACCCATGAGCCTGCTTCTCCTTCTCGCTGTATTGGAATCATAGGTCCACCCCCATGTCTGTACCCTCCGAACTTTGTGTCCTCCCCCTACCCCCCAATAATCCATCAAGTGCAGTTTGTGCTGCTCATATACTCCTGGGCCTGTGGGACTAGTCAATACAACGTGGTCAACCCACCAGGGACCACTATTAAAGAAAACTGACACTCCTTCTCTCAGCAGTCATCAACTGTCTATAGCTCCTGAGTTTTGGGTAGGGCCCATGAACCCCTCCCCACTCCATGCTAGAGTGCTGACTGGCTTGATTGTGTGCAAGCAACTTCAGCTGCTGTGAATCCTAACATTTTCATGATAACATCAGTTGGCTCACACTGCATGAAGTTTTCCTCTAGCATTTCACCTCACTCTCTTTTCATCTTTTGGGTTTTAACCTAAGTTTACTTTCTCAGTGAAATCTTCCTGGACCTTTCCAGAATAGTTTAGATATTCTAGATAAATGTTCTCATTGTACTTTGTGATCCTCTCACATGTATCAAAATGAAAACTAGATTTATTTCCTTGACAATAATATTTTCTTGATTAAATTGACACTGAGCTTTTTCTTGATCAGTGACTAATTCTCAGCTCTCTTAGCTCACTATCTGTGACATGGCAGGGATTCGTACATTTACTGAATGGTTGAATGAATGAAAGAATGAGCCGTATAAAGAGTACAAAATATGCCAGGCATGGTGGCACACTCCTTTGATCCCAGCACTTGGGAGGCAGAGGAATGTGGATCTCTGTGAGTGTGAGGCCAAACTGGTCTACATAGTGAGTTCCAGGATGGCAAGAGCTACAGAGTGAGACTGTCTCAAAAAACAAAAGGATAAAATATAATGAAGACAAGCCTTTTATGGTGAGAACATCCCTTCTTTTTATTAATATGTTGAGATAAATTACAGAGACTGAAAGACAAAAATTCATAAATCATTCATTACAACATTCATTAAAAATCAAAAGCAGCTTAAGAGTTCTCACAGGAAATCTTATATAAGTCTGATATAACATTAAATTTTTACAAATCAGACCTTTTACTTTTAAACCTAATTATGTGATCTTGAATGCACTATGAAGATCTCCTTTACCAAGAGCACTTCATTTTACTAACACAAGGCTTCCATTAAAATCTCACCAGACCTGAAAATCTGTATCACACCTTGGAAATTACCTGCAGCTTTAAAAACAAACAAACAAACTAAAACTTTAAATGGAAAGTCTCACATAGCAATCTAAAAACCAAAAACAAAGCAGAAATGACTCACGTTTTAATACAAATAAATTATAAACACCAGCTATTTCTTCCTCACTGTTGTCACCCAACTCAGAAACAATTCATTTTGAAGGTAATGATGAAAACGCTACAGTGTCACTCAAAAGTCCTCCCGATGTTAACGGTGCCATTGAAAGGCTAAGTAGAATCTTGGGATGAAACCAGCAGGACTTGCTGGCATTTCCAGCAGGTGTCTGTTGCCTTTATACAGTTACTAAATATCTCAGCAACCAGTCACCCCAAGTTTTAATAACTTATTAAACCAGGACACTTCAAGAACCACTTCTGGATTACCAGACTTGGAAAGATACAATTTTACTTGACACATGGGCCTTGTAATAGGAAATCTGCATTAAAATGTGGAAATCAACTGAAAGATTTCACACCAATGCAATTCTATTGACTAATGGTCAAACTCTGAAACAAGAATACCTACTGCTAATGGAAGCCCTGCTCTGTGCAAACAGTATGGTATTTATTAAACAATCACATATCTGAGGTATTAGCTGGAAAATATATACATTTATATATATACACTTATACATGGACACATCCACAGAATATTCACAAAACTATTGGCCCCTACACCAGCAGAAGATCAAATTAATTGAAAAAGAATCACATAATAGGAAAAAGTTACATGGGGGCATTTACAAAAATGTGGTTACATAATCCTTAATATAAGGAGCATGTTTTGAATAACTGCTTTGAGGAAGAAAATGTTTCCATTGACATGAAAGTATCTGTGTTAGAGAATTGAAACTAAAATGGGAACCTGGATTCAGGACTGTGAAGCCTACCAGATTACTAAAGGCTGTGCAAGAATTGCTTGAATAACCTGGTTCTATCTGCTTTTGTTTTCATTTTTTATTGTAGTTGAGACAGTCTTACAAGGTACCCAGGCTAGCCTCAAATCTATAATCCCCCTGCCTCACTTGGTCTCCTAAGTGTTGGGACAACATGTGTGAGCTACCATGCCTGACTTCTATTTGTAATGGAAAAGTGGATTTTAGAAAAAAACAAAACATGGAGGTTATTGTCAGGCTATTTTATTTTCATTGGTTTATAGAGAATTTTAAGGATTTTACTGACTCTGATATGGCTACTAAACAAGTATTTTTAGCTATCTCATGATTAAAATTCATTTTCATAATTTTTCTATACAGATAATAAAAATTGTTATGGGTTTCTTTTCAGTTTGCCTCACTCAATTTTAAACAGATGGCTAGCAAGGCATCCAGGACTAAGCTCGAGCATCACGGTGGAGAAGCTAAGCAGAGATACTCATTCCTCTTTAAACCATTTGGTCCTTGGTGACAACACCTGTCAGATTGAAAAGATGGTCATGTGGCCCTCTGGCCTACCAATCAATAGTTCACTGCTTTAAAAAGTGGGAGTTTTTAAAATTAAGTATCTCAGAACGCAGCAACAGCTGTACCATGTGCTAAATAGCTGCATTTCCAATATTACGAATAAAGATAAGGAGAGTAAAAACTCATTTTATTTTACATATCAGTGTAAAAGTTTGAACAGCAAGAAAAATTAAGCATAAAAGTGCATTTGAAGTTAAGGGCTAGCACTCCACATTCCTGTTCTTGGAAACACCTGAGCTGACACAAAAACAGAGCACTTATACACACACACACACACACACACAAACACCCTTTATACTGTAAGGACCTTGGTTTTCCTTACTGATTATTTGAAAATCATAAATAAGCATGTAGTAGTTATGAAATGATTATGCACTCAAATGCAATCAGGTCTCAAAATGTTGTTTTCACTTATTAGATGGAAAACTTGAAATTTCTCTGTGTTCAATTAACCTATTTGATAAAAAAAAAATCCTAAGACTTCAAGATGACTAAATAACTAATATCAGTGTATTCAGAAAGAAGGGACTCGAAAGGAGGAAAAGTGCTGTTTTCTTTCCTCCCAAAGTGTGTGTGTGTGTGTGTGTGTGTGTGTGTGTGTGTGTGTGTGCTTCTCTGTGTCTAAAGGGATAAAACGTCAATTACTAAAAAATATAACTACTGTTCCCAAACTTCCAAAAACTTATTTAGAAACCTAATTAGTATGCAAAGGTAAAGAGCTGCTGGGTAAAGATGAAAGTGATCAAATGAAATTAAGAAACTTCATGTAGCTATAAGACAGGAAAATACTGGGATTTGCATCATAAGAGTAGGTAGCAAACACAAAAAAATCTTTCAGTTCAAGTCATCCAAATACACATGAAATTAAATTCAAAGCCACTAACTAGTTCTTTCCACAATACAGGTATCATTAAGAATTCAGTCTTTATTTATATACTTTATACATTGCTTAAGATACCAGGCACTCAGCCAACCATGCCCACAGCTATTTCCAAGTTTTGTTTAATCTAACCCATAAATGTCATAAATGTGATGGGATGCAGCAACAAACCTGAAACAATACTGTCGGAAGCCATGTGCAGCTCTACGCTGTGTTAGTTCCCCTCAATCTGATAACCTGACCTATCGTCTCCATCCTGGAACAGTGGGATTTACGTAGGTTTGGCTCATGTAAATATCGATCACATTAATGTAAATTTCCTAATAAAACTGGAAAAATAGCTTAAAAACTTTCATTCCAGTTTCTACAAATTTCTTGATAGATATGAGCTTTCAAAGCTAATTAGAATGCTACATTTTAAGTGACTTATTCTACAGGCTCAAGAAAATACTTAAAATTCTATGATGTATGCTCATTCTGTAGCAATGTACTAACAGCAGAACAATACAGAGATTCACATGGCCCCTGTGCAAGGATGACACAAAATTCATGAAGTTTCTATATTTTTCAATCCAATGAGAGGCAAATAGCAACTAAAAATAGGCACAGTGAACTATTTTGAAGAAAAAGTGGGAAATAAGACCAGTGAACGTCAAGACCAGCAAATGTAAAACCATGAGGATCACAGACCACTCGAAAGTGGAGACAGAACTTTGCAATTGCAGATTTCCATTCAAATAAAAAGATGACAAACTGGTTGTTACGTTTTGTGCCCGTAGGTGAGTGCTACAGCCGGCTTTTGTCAGAGAAACTTATTTTTGTAATGGGCAGAAGTAACTTCGGAGCTCATAATGGTCACAGTAATGGGAAGACATGACTACTGAGTGCTGAGCGTTGAGTGGGACATCGACATTGCTCACTCTGAGGCTCAGAGAACAGTACAGAACAGGGGTGGAAATAATGCAAGAAGTGGTGAAGTTGTGGAACACTGCTTTCTGGCCATGACACAGTCGTCACACTGGGATTCTGCACATGGTCTCTATAAGGTTGGGCCCTTCCAAATCCTGCTGTGTGTGTGTGTGGGGGGGGGGGTGCTCACGAGGCTGCACCCCACCCTGATCGTCTCTAGGCAGTTAGTGGTTGATGAGGGAGGGAGATATTTTCTTCAGGGTTGCAGGACTGGTAATGTGCCTGTGTTCCTGTTAATAACTCCTCACCTAAGCCCTACATTCAACCATAAGGAAAACTCTTTGGGTCGTCGTAATCATCATCATCATCATCACCACCACCACCAAAAAGACTGAAGGGAAGAGGATCAGTGGAGTAGGAGGGAACAAGAGAGGGTCATAGGACGTGAAGATGATGGACTGTATTATACATGTGTGTATGAAAATGTCAAAATGAAACCCATTGTCATAGGTAATTAATATGTGCTAATAAAACAGTTTTTGAAAAAAGAAGGGAGAAAATGAAAAAAATTAAACATAGTTGCCAGGGATAAAAAGCTATCTAATGAAGAGATGCAGTCTCTCTGAAGACACTACCTATGAAATTAAGATATAAAATAGAATGTGAGGGCTGGTGAGACGGCTCAGTGGTAAAATACTTCCTGCACAAGTCTGAAGACTCCAGTTCAATCTGCAGAAGTGAACAAGGTATAAAAGGAAAACTAACTCCTACAAGTTGTTCTCTAACCTCTACATGTGCACCTTGGCACATGTACACACACACACACACACACACACACACACACACACACACACACACACACGTACACACTATAAATGTAAGAATAAATAAAATTTATAATAAAACAATTTCAAACAGTTGCAAGAATCACAGGAATGACCGGAGGCTGAGTCACTTACAGAGCCTGAAGTTGAATGTTCTAAGCTAAAGGCCGTGCTAACAGAGCAAGGGGAAAACTGAGCAGACCGGGCTGATGGGTGCAAATCTGGCTGGAGATGAGAGGGAACAACTAAGGAAAGTTACTGAGCTGAAACGGTGTGACAACATGTCTTTCTTTAGATAAAATACAGAAAAAAGAAGACTTAAAACAGTGCACTGGATTTATGACACTCTTAGAAGTAAGAGCAGAGGACTTACATCAACAAGAAACTTAAGAATGTAGTTGTCACAGCTTAAAAACTAGAGATTTGAAATGGATATTTCAGCCGGGCGGTGGTGGCGCACGCCTTTAATCCCAGCACTTGGGAGGCAGAGTCAGGCGGATCTCTGTGAGTTCGAGGCCAGCCTGGGCTACCAAGTGAGTTCCAGGAAAGGCGCAAAGCTACACAGAGAAACCCTGTCTCGAAAAACAAAAAACAAAACAAAAAAAAAAAAAGGAAATGGATATTTCAATGTCTATGTTTAATTAAACAGGAGATCCATGGTCTTCATGGGAAATGAAAAAGTATGTTTCCTCTGAATGAAAATACACGTTATGGCCGGGTGGTGGTGCACGTACACACCTTTAATCCCAGCACTCAGGAAGCAGAGACAGACAGATCTCTGTGAGTTCGAGGCCAGCCTGGTCTACAGAGCAGGCAGGGCAACACAGAGAAACTCTGTCTCAAAAAAACAAAAAACAAACAAAAAACCCACCCCACTTTATTACCAAGTGTGGGAGCACATGCCATTAATTCCAGCATGGGTGGGGTGGGGCGCAGGCCAATCTCTGAGTTCCAGGCCAGCCTGGTCTACACTGTGAGTTCCAGCCAGCCAGGGCTACACAGTGAGACTCAAAATAAAAAAAAGAAAGTGACCCAATGAGCAAGCACTAAAGCATCACTAAAGCAGCATGGCAGCCTCCTCGAGGACCAGATGACTCTGGGAAGAGAAGCACTAAGACTCATCATCTTGTACCAGAGAACAAGATCAGCAGGTGACGGAAATGCAGAGAAGTTAAAGGGATAATAATGGTTTGATGCGATTCAGAAATCTGCAACTGAACGCTGAAATGACAGCTGGAGAAGATTCTAATGAGAAAGAAGTAGAAATGCAAACAGCTATGTAGAGGCACGCAACCTTAGAAAACCATTCACATGAACTAGACAACACTAATTCAGGCTAACTGTCAGATAGGAAGGCTGCTGAAGGAAGTAGATCAGAACTCGGAAGGCTCTGGGAACAAGGCCCAGAGTGCCCTGGGATTGTGAGGGTGACACTGGTGTGAAACTCAGCCCCAGGTTTGTTCCAAGTAAAGAGCAGTGATTCCTATACCAAGCCCTCAGCCTTCGTGAGAGCATGCAGAAGAACCCGAGCAAGAGGCAACCAAAATTGACCGACACAGACACAAGAGGTAGAAGCAGCCACCGCAGATCGTGGTCCTTTGAAGTTATTCCTCAGAATGTAGAAAAGTCAAGATTCTCTCTAGAGAGTAACAAAATATGTATAGATGGTGAGGAAAGGGTTTTTACTAAAGATGACTAGATAGGCAGCATTTTAATAGTTTCACATTAAATGTATTATGTGCAAACTTTAAAACCAACCTTTCCTTTCTTTGTAGCACTCCTATTTTTAAAGGTCGTGTTTCTAGACATGGTTGGGTTGTCCAGACTCCTAAAACAATGTGTGTAATTTAACCCACTATTATAATCAGGTATTTCTACTGAAGAATCTGACAACAGAATACAAGAGACCATTTTAAAGAAAATTCAACAGAGGACATAAATGAGCAATATTTAGAAAAGAATCCTTAAGCAACAGCACAATGTCACTCTACCTAACAGTCTCGTTCTTGAGCAAGGGATGGGGGGGTGACAACAAACTACCAAGAATGTAAATGTAATCTGTAATTCTTTAACTGTATGTAGCAAAACCAGTAAGCCATCACTACCATTGAACACCCAAGACCAGAAATCAATTCAAACCCAATAAGCACCAAAACTTCAAATCCCAACTCTGTTTGCCCGCCATATATGACAGATTTTGTTAGAAGGAGTTTATTCTAAAGAGCTGATGAGTTGCCTGGTGGTAAGTGGAGCTTAGCTCAGAATGCCGATGACGACTGTCCATCACTGCTCTAGCTGCTGCTCAGGGCTGTGTGTGGCCCAACAGATAACGCTCCATCAAGTAAACCAGCCACATTTGTGAAGGCACGAAGCTGGGTAGTAGTGTCATTGTGTTCTTATTACTTATTTGTAGAAGAATTCATTTGCTTTGGGGTCCTGCTTCAGTCATCTCCATGAAACTGAATTTCCACGGGAAGAAAGTTCATCTTTTGCTTCATAAACTTCAGTAGCCTTGAAAGACACATTAATGAACATTTGGGGCTAACTTTTAATTACCGGAATTATAAATGGAAAAATTGCAACTTACCATTGAAAACTCATTTAGCATAATATTTATCGTCATATTTTCTTTAAAATCTATCTTATAGCATTTTGTTCCTATGTATGGCTTAGCAATTCATAAGACTAAAGAGCATACTGATAGTATACACCAGTTCATTTATCTCATTACAGATTCTGGAATACAAGAACAATATTAAAAATGCCAATTCCTTCTACACTGATATCAAATTTTACATAAAGTTTTGTTTTTCCTTTTTGAAAAAAATTCATTGTTTCAACTCCACACACCAGTCACCTAATGGGAAGTGTGGCTGTGTCATAGACATTTATTCCATCAGCCTAAACGAAGTGTCTCGTGGAGCTAAACGCTAAAGTAATTTAAATAAAAGGCAAGCGCTCCTATATACACAAAATCATCCTAAAAATATTTACATGGCAAAGGAATAATGGAGAATCACTAAAACTGGCAATTGCTACAGGTGTGACAATCCTCTCCAGACATCATAAGGAATCATGTAAGATTTTAAAGTGAAAGTAATTGCAGAAGCATACTAAAATATTTAGTTTTCAGTTCTTACTATTGAAATGAGCCAGTAGATCATTAACAGTCCAAGATTTCAGAAATCAACTACTCAGCTTAGTCTTTAATCAAATCTTCTTCGGCTTCATGGCGAAATGAACTTTACAGAAAAGACAGAGTACATGGAAAGGAGTGGGCAGGACTTCCAGCTTATCCCCCCTTGTAGAGACTGGTCAGTCGCTCAAGCTCTTTGCAGTTGTCCATGCTCAGAGCATCCGCCTTCCTCCGCAGCCGTTCATCACGGTACACCTTTGCTGCATACTGCATATCTGTTTCTGTACACAAAAGGTTCGCTAGTTAATAACAAATTACATCACCTTAAAAACCACTTTTGAGAAGTTTATATATATGCATAAATACTTTTCTGAACTGACTTTAAAGAAAGAAAGAATCAAGTATAATTCCTATAAACCATTTCACTCCGACTTTTTCTTTTAAAAATTTTTTGGACAGGGTCTCTACACAGATCTGGCTGCCCTAAAGCTCACTATGTAGACCAAGCTGGCCTTGAACTCGGAGATCCTCCTGCCTTTGCCTCTGAGTGCTATGATTAAAGGTATGCACCACCACACCCATTAGGCTTTTCCTTTATATAACTTCACTTTGACCTTAGCACATAGAACCAGCACCAACAAGAAATAAGGTTAGAGCCCTGCCATCTCCTCCCAGAGCCCTTCCCCTTCACCCCTGAGCCCAGTGGCTGAGGCTCTGCTCTGGAATACCCTCTCAGCCTTTTCTAAAACATCTCCTGAAAGCCAGGACTGCCCGTGGCTCTGTTTGGTGTGGTTTGTGATAATTCCAACAGTTGAGAACACAACTTAAGCCGGGTGATGGTGGAACATGCCTTTCATCCTAGCACTCAGGAGGCAGAGGCAGATGGATCTCTGAGTTTGAGGCCAGCTGGTCCATAGAGCAAGGACAGCCAGGGTTACACAGAGAAGCCGAGTCTCACCTCCCCTCAAAAGAACACAATTAAAGCACACCCCTCCTCCCCCTCTGCCGCCGCTTTCTTTTTCTTCATGAGAACAGGTTTCATTACATAGCCCCGGCTGGCCTCAAACTTGTGGTCCTTCTGCATCAGCACCCGAAGTGCCAGCGTTGTGTGTGCCTTCACACATGGGGAAATACTGGAAAATACAGCATTCCTCCATATATATGTAAATACTGCCCCCACACAACCTGAAAAAATAACCATAATTCTGCTAGATGATAAGACCCTACAGCTGAACATATTACATGGTTTGGTCATAGGTGAATCAAACTATAATTGAGCTGGAAGCCTCCTCCTTCCCAGATAACTTTCATAATGACAAAAGGAGCTATACAGACTGGTGGAGAATTATTAAGAACAGTCTTATTCAGCTGTGGATGCTGGATGCTGCTCTACTAATCTGCTAGGCAGTGTGTGCCCATCATACAATAGTGCCATGGTTGTTACGGGGTAACTAACCACTTTCTGATTGGAGTTGAGGTCTTCACAGGAAAGAATTCACATCTGGAACATAAACCTGGTCAAAAACCTGTGGCTGCGAGATCATAGGCCCAATTGGAGAAGCTATGCTGTTGTTTTGCTAAATGGATACAACAAACTGGTCTTTAAACACTTGTTTACACCCAGTGACTAACATGCCATCAGCTTTGAAAAGAAAGCTCCTACTTGCAGTGGGTGGTGGTTACTATGGACTCATAAATGATCAAAACAGTGAGCCTAAGTGACTGCTGAAGACTTAGCCCACCACGGAGCATTTGTATCATCCTCTCTGAAGCTCAGGGAGAATGGAAGGAATGAAGAACTGGAAAGGATGGAGGGCTGTGGAACGATGTCCACCAGGCATGATATCATTGATGCTCTCATGAACTCACAGTAGCTGTGATCTCCAAGATCTGCAACATTGGGTCCATCAGTATTTTTGCATGGAGGGAGAGGAAGGCCCCACCCCTCTCTGAGGAGCTATACCCAGTTAACAGTTGGTAGGGGGAGAGCATCATGAGGCCCTACCCCTCCATGAGGGGCTATTTGCAGTTAATGGTTGCTGAGGGAGAAAGAGATTTTCTTCAGTGGTGTTACAGAACCACTGCTAAGATGCCCATGTTCCTGCAAATACCCATGCTCCAAAAGCAGCGCGCGCACACACACACACACACACACACACACATGTGAGAGAGAGAGAGAGAGAGAGAGAGAGAGAGAGAGGAACACAGGAGGATTAACTGGGAAGAAAAGAGGGAGGGATCAGCAGGAGTGTGAGGAGAACAAGGTTGGTAATGGGAGGTGAATATGATCAAAATTCTTTATATACATGCATTAAATGTCACAATGAGACCCAGTATTATGTATAATTAATATATGCTGTGGTGGTTTGAATGAAAATATCCCCCAAAGGCTTATAGGGAGTGGCACAATTAGGAGGTGTGGCCTTGCTGGTGGAGGTGAGGCCTTGTTGGGGGAAGTATGTCACTGGAGGTGGGCTTTGAGGTTTCTAGTGTTCAAGTCAGGCCCAGTGTTACTCTCTCTTCCTACTGCCTGCCAATTTGGATGTAGAACTCTCAGCTACCTCTCCAGCACCATGTCTGCCTGCATGCCACCATGCTTACTGCCAATGTGATAATGCACTAAACCTCTGAACCTGTTGCCAGCCCCAATTAAATGTCTTCCTTTATAAGAGTTGCTATGGTCATGATGTCTCTTTTTTTTTTTTTTTTTTTTTAGGTTTTTTGAGACAGGGTTTCTCTGTGTAGCTTTGCGCCTTTCCTGGATCTCGCTCTGTAGACCAGGCTGGCCTCGAACTTATAGAGATCCGCCTGCCTCTGCCTCCTGAGTGCTGGGATTAAAGGCGTGTGCCACCACCGCCCGGATGTCATGATGTCTCTTAACAGCAATAGAAACCCTAACTAAGACATATGCTAACGAAAATAAACCATAACTAAATACTAAATAACACTTAACACTGACTGGTACAAGCCACTATGTTAAATGCTTACTGAATAATATGTTATGATGATAAGGCAACTAGTTTAGCAAGTAACTTGGTCTTCTAGATAATGTGTGATTGGAAGAAGCATTGTGTAAGGCTATCTATTCAACAACAACAAAAAAACACAGTAAGACAAGAACCATTTAGTAAGTTCTTACACTGTGTCAATTTTTATGTTTTGCTACACGTATAAAAATCATTACAATCAACCCCCAATAGACATGTTAGATTGATGCCAGGGTCTCCAGATGCTAAGATACAAGGATGTTTAAGTCTCTTACACAAAACATCTGTGTTTGCATATCCTACACATATGCTCCTGTGTCTGTTGCCTCCATCTTACTAAGGTTGCCTAATTCGATGGAGATGTCATGCAAACAGTTGTTACAGTGGATGGCTTCGAGAACAATGACAAGAAACACTGGCACACGTTCAGGACAGATGCAGCTGCTCTTTTTCTGCACAGTTTTGATTGACAACTGACTGAATCCATGGGTGAGGGAAGCCTCAAACGTAGAGGGCTGACTGCTCAGTCATGTACTGGATTCCAATTATAAACCAGGGAATTTCCCTTCTTAAGTAGTGAAATCTACAACAATAATTCCAAAGACTCTAAAACGTTTTCTAAACTGTTAAAAATATTTGACAGACTTACTCTGCTGTCTTTCTTTCCAACAGTTATTTCGAATATTAGTCACATAATCCTCTTCCACACTCTTTTCTACCTTCTGTAATAGTGTTCCTTTATATTCGCTTTTAAAGTCCTTACTGACGTAATAAACAACGCCCAAGTTTTCTGTCTGCATTTTAATAGTTTGTCCTGATCCACTGAAAAAGAGATACATAATCATTCTTTTAATTAAGGCTACATCCAAATATGCAAATCAAGAAGCAAAATTAAAAGTAATTTAAAGTTAACATCAGCATTAGTTACATTTGTGAAAACTGCTTCAAACCACTTTTCACAGAGTACACTGTTTTTGGTGAAGCTTCCTTTATCTTCCCATCACTTAATTAAGTCATTCCCCGCCTTTTGACATGAGCCTGAGACCAATTATTTTCCCCTTTCCCTTTTTGTCTTTCATATCAATGTATTAACTACATTAAATTCAAATTCAAACATAGCACTTTTGTCCTTACTCACAGTGGACTACTTATGGTAACTATTTTTAAAACTAGAGATTTTCTTGTAAAAGAGTTGGCACTTAAAAGTATCAAAGGACCCTTCAAGGGAAGAAAAGAAACAGCAACAACTAAATTTTGTAGAATTTCACTTAGCTACTTACGATCTGGGATATAAGGAGTAAGGAGGGTTCGAGACCATCAACTGGCTTAACAAGGACACGAGGATCAATACAATAATGGGCATCAGCTGGATAAACACAGAAAACCCTCCCTATAAAAAGATCAGAGAACAACAGTGTCGCATGACTGTCCAATCCAGTGGTTGCCATACATTCTTACAGGTACAAAGGACGTCTGTGGCCATCTAGGGTAGTCACTTCAAACCTGCTGAATAAACTCAACTTCCTGTTATAATCCCTAAAATCCAAACTCCCAGGGCTGCACAACTCCTCTGACCTCGTTTTAGAGATAAGGAAGCCCCTCCTGTCACACACACCGAGACACCTGGGTTTAGCAGGGGAGTCGATGCATGCCGGAGCTGGGCTCAGGCCTCTTCCTGTCTAGTTTAGTGTCCTTTCCATTCAGCTTTCCACACAAGGAGCTTAATTAGTACAGGCCATCAGGCATGCCTGCATTAGAGCCAAGCAAAGGCAAAGGTACTTCTAACTAAGGTTTTGCAGCATCATTTCTAAATCTTTCAGGATCGATAAAAAGAAGCCACCTTCAGAACATGCAAAATAGAGATACACCTTTGTCAGAATTCTGCAATACCAGAAGGACCACACTGCCACCACCCTGACCCTGACCTCTACTCCTGCACCTACATTATTCTCCCAGGACTTCTGAGTCTCTTTTGAACACTGGAGCTAAGAGAAAACTCATTATTTCCTAAAACAACTTGCTCTATTTTTAGTCGATTCTAATTGCTTTCCTGAACTAGAATTTGTCATTTTGAGATTTACAATCACATTATAAACATACATCTGCTCTTTCTTCTTCTCTTTCGTGTCCACTGTGTCGGTGCTGATGTTGATGGCTGTAAGCAGCCCGGCCATTTGAAAATGAGTGTACACTACCTAGAAAATTCAAAACAAGGTTAAATTAACAAGTTTTTAAAAAAGTAACAAAATTAATGGCTGTTTGTTTTGAGCAATGAATGTTTACTGCCTGATCTTGCCTCCACCTTCCAAATCAGATATGAGCTACCATACCCAACTTTCTAAATTTCTTTGTGAAGTTGTGGATAAGAGTTCCTTAATAATGTTACATACATGAAGGGCCATCATTGTTGGTGATTGTTCCTACAAACCTTAGGTCTTTATTCTGAAAATTCTGATTGATGCACTTAAAAAAATCAAACACATCGAGAAATCCAAAGAGCATAACAATGAATGTTTTTAAATGCTAACATATTAAAGTATAAGTGATCACAGATGGACATTCAATTTGTTTTCAAGTGGGGTGAAGAAGCAGAAACGGCTGTTGTTGACAAAATAAACCATGTTTTGACTAACAGAAAACTGCAAATTAACTATTAAGAAGAAAATTATCGCTTCAAAGATTCCTGACTGTTCCCAACATATTTCCAGTCAAAATTCTTAGTTTTAGTAACTTTTCTCAGAGGTAAGGTATTCTATTTTGTCAAAACACAGGTTAAAGTTTTGATCATTCACTTGTATTTTTACAACTCAGGGATGCTCTGCAAAAATGTTCCTTCAATGATAACTGTCTTTCTCTATGATACTAAGAGACGCTCTCGGGTCAAATTCTCATTTTGAATGGGACATTTTACTCAGTACTTTAAGTCAATGCCATAAACAAGCCTAGAGCTTAAAGAAACTACTTTTAAATGTATCTCCACACAAACAACTCGCAGTGAGTGAAAACATGAGTTTATACTACTTATGCCAGCACTGCAAGATCTACTCATTTAGTGGAAAACTACATTTCCTGTCAGCCTTGTTTAAGCGGTTGCTCCTACTGTAACATAATAAAAAGGAACCTAAAAAGTTTATGTATTAATCAGACTGTCTACTACTTCAGTGAAAATGCAGATGAAGACTTTACATACATTGGCATTAACAGTCTAGGGCACATATGTCAATCACTCAACCCGGGTACCAGATGCTTCCCCTAATAGTAACCACTACAGTACTGCCTCTGGCTCTCCCACCTATACTCCTTTTCTTCAGTTTTTTATAAGACAAGTCATCTGCACTCTTCAACTCTTATAATTATTCTCTAGGAAAAAGACGACTTAGTAACAATGGCAACCCTTAATGTTATCCCTCCTTTGATAGGAAGCCAACACTGTAGAAAAAAACAGGGGGAGATCCTCATGCTCAAACCTGTAACCCCAACACTTGGGAGACAGAGGCAGGAGGGTTGCTGTAAATTAGAGATTAGCCCAGGTTTCACAGTGAGTTCCAGACTAGAGTGAAACTCTGTCTTAAAACAGAACAAAGCCCAGATGAGAACGCTGGAGATCTTTAGGAAGTTTAGCTGAGGAAATAAAATGAACTCGGAATACCTGAAGGGAATCCACCACCAAAGAAGATGTTGAACAGGTCCTCTGGTGTTATGTCAGCTTCACAGCCTCGGTGGAAGTTGAACCTGCCATTGTTTTGGTGATTACAAGCTTGCTCTTCACTGCCTGTGAGGTCATACTGTTTTCGTTTCTCTGGATTGCTTAAAACCGCATAAGCATTTCCAATCTCTAAAAAAGCAAGTAGCAGCATTGGAAAGCAATGTCTTTAGTCGTAGAAAATTCTCTCACATTCAGCATCATCAACTCAAATATGAGTTGAAACCAACTGATAAAAATCACAAAATGGTAACGATTTTTCAGTGTTACATGTATATTTTGCAACATCACATGTTATCTCTCAATAAAGCTTTGAGTGCTAACCAAATCTTCCCACTGCCTTGGAAACAAGGAATTCCCCTCTATCTCCCTGCACCATTGCACCATGGCCTCGAAAACCCTGTCCCCAATTTGAGTTCTTCAGCTGAGCCATTCAAGATTGTTCAACCCACACACCACAGATGGAGGCCACATCATTTTAATCCCAGCTCTTGGGAAGTTAAGGCAGGAGGATTAAAAGTTCAAGGCCACCCTTACAAACAAGACCGTTCAAAACAATTGCAGTGGTATCCATCATGTATTGAGAACCTACTATTTCTGCACTTTGCTGGTTAGTATTTCCACCTTCCAAGGCTCACTTGCTAAGTAAATTGTTTGAGGTCAAACACTCAGCATAATATGTGTATCTACTACTTCAAGACATCTCCGATGGAAATCTCCGTCTTCGTTTTGCACACTGCCCCCCATTTTATTTCTGATCAACTTATTTTCCTTATATAGAAAGCCCATGTGAGAGGAGGGACTGTCTAGGCCTCTGTTGCAATGCTCAAGGGTCCAGCACAAAGTCTTACGTGCTGTTGCTGTTGCGTTTGGCTTTGTAGCTGGGTCTCACAATATAGCCCAGGCTAGCCTTGAACTATTCACTCATTTAGTGCATGTGCAAAAATCAGGAATGCTTGCAGCATCTTGTTATTTAGAGAATTAAATACAAATTTTGTTTTGGTGTTCAAAACTTTACAAAGGTCATTTCTACCTCACTGTCATTTTTTGCACATAAAAAGACCTTTCAATTACTTTTTTCTTCAAATGTTTTACTTTGTGGTAATTATAGATTCACACACAGTTTTAAAATACAAAATAGAGATCCTCTACACCTTTTTCCTAATTTCTCCTAGTTATAATATCTTATCAATTATATCAAAATATCCTAAATGGAGTACTGACATTAAGTCAATAGACATAGAACATTCTATAGCCATCTTTCAAGTACTCTAATTCTTCACTTTGTGTGTGTGCATGATGTGTGTTGTGGACACGTATGCCATGGCTACAACCTGATCAAGTTGGATCTTTCTGAGCTCCTTTCTGTGGGTTCTGGGAATGGAACTTGGGTTACTGGGTTTGCATGGCAAGCATCCTCATACTAGCTGAATCACCTCACTGGCACTAAGGGGACCTCTTTATAGCCACATCCAATTCCTGCTCATCCTGCCTCTCTTCAATTCCTGATAACTACCGAAAATTGGCCATTTCTCTAATTTTATCATTTGGAGGATGTTGAAGGCCCAATTGGGGATGCATGCCTATAATGTCAGCATGTTGAGAAACTGAGACAGTGGGAAGTTCTGGGTTATATATTAAGACTGTCACACAAATATATCTATATCTATATATGTTGTATAAATAACACAATTTAAAAATAGGACTTCTTCATGTAATTGAAACCCTTTGGAACTGGCTTCTTCCAATGAGCACAGTATCCAGACAGATCCAGCTAGTTGCATGTCAGAAGTGTGTTCATTTCTAGTACTACATAGTACTCCATGGTACAGCTATAGCACTGTTGTCTCAACTCCCCATCCCCTCAATGACAGCTGGGCTCTTTCTAGTTTGGGCTATTACACTAAAGCTCCTATATGCCTTTACTACAGGCTTATGGATAGATGTAAATGTTCAATGCTCTGGGATAAATGCCAGGAGTGCATTGCTCAATTGTATGGTAGCTTAGAATTAGCTTTTGGATCAACTTCCAAAGCTGTTCTGCAAAATGATTCTCATTTTACTTCTCCTCAGCAATACATGAATAATCCATTCTCTGTACCAGCGCACTTTTCTGTGCGAGCCATTATGATAGGTGCACAGCACTACCAGATATTGGCTTCACTTGGCATTTCTCTAGTGGCTAATGATGCTGCAATCTTTTCATGGGCCTTTGCCACGTGCAAATCATCTTCAGCAAAATGTCACTCCGTGTGTGCGTGTGTGTATGTGTGTGTGTGTGTGTGTGTGTGTGTGTGTGTGTGTGTGTGTGTGTGTGTGTGTTTTGGAGTTGTGTGGCACATGGATGGATGGATGGATGGATGGATGGATGGATGGATGGATCTGTGCATGTGCAAGCATCTGTGTTTGCATTTGTGTAAAGACCAGACGATAACCTTTGGCTTTTATTAGCAGGGATCTAACTCAGGGCACTTACTGAGTCCCCTCCCCAGCCCCTTCACAACTTTTTTAATAATTTTAAAAGCTTTTATTAGCATCCATTAATTATACACAATAATGGGTTTCACTGTGACATTTCCATATGTGTAAACATAATGTATTTTGATCACATCCATCCCCATTAGCCACCCACTCCCTCTTGTCCCCACCCACTCCCACTAATCCTTTTTTCTTCCCAACTGGTTCCACTTCTACTTTCATGTCTTAAATTTTTTTTTAAACTTATTTCGTGTGTGTGTATGTGTGTGTGTGTGTGTGTGTATGTGTTGTGCGCACATGGAAGTCAGAGTACAACTCTGTCTTAATCTCCAGAAGGTTAACTGTGATGTCTCTGCTGTAGCTTTCTTTTGGTTTAACTGCTTGGGGATCATTCAGTTTCTCATATATAAAACCTTGCATTTTTTGGTCAAGTTTGAGAAGTCTCCAAACTTTGATTGTTAGCACTTTCAGCCCTGTCTCCCCATTCTTAGAGCCCCGCTGACTTGAGTATTAGATCTTCTGTTACAGCTTCATGTTCTTTGAGGCCACTTCTTCAGCTCGCCATCACATTCTTCATTGTTCAGACAGGAAGTGTCTACTTTTCTGTTTTACAGTTCGTCCGTTCTTTACCCATTCTGCCTTTTCTTTCATTCATTCATTAGTAGGTATTTCAGATCTTTACTTTTGATAATGAATTTCCACTTTGTTCGGATTCTGTATTTCTTTTCCGATCTTGTTTGTTTTCAGCTCACTTACATTCCTTCTTCAGAATATCTATACCATTGCTACAGTAACATCTTAGCTAAGCAGTTCTGACTTTTCTGTCCTCTCCATGTGGGTGTCTAACAGACTGAGTTTCAAAGTTCCATGTGAGTCCTGGTTCTTGGAACAAGAGATTTCCAAGTGCATTGTTGTTGTTTGTCTATTGTGAGGCTCTGAGTCTTGAACGTCGCACTTTAACTTCTTCCAGTGTTGAGGGGACACTACCTCACTGCTTTCAGGCAGGAAAGACATCCAGGTCCCTTTCCCCTTCAGACTCTGAGGACACGAGGTGAGTGTAGCTGGAGAGTTTCTCTCCAGTTCCCGTCAAGCCCCCACAGTCCCACAGCCCACTTATAAAATGATCACTCAGATGCTTATATTACTTATAAACTGTATGGCCATGGCAGGCTTCTTGTTATCTAGTTTTTCTATTTTAAATTAACCCATTTCTATAAATCTATACCTTGCCACGTGGCTCGTGACTTACCAGTATCCTTACATCTTGTTTCTCATCGCAGCAACTGGCAGGGTCTCTCTGCCTCAGCCTTCCACTTCCCAGAATTCTCCCTCTTTGTCACACCTATACTTCCTGCCTGGCTACTGGCCAATCAGCGTTTTATTTATCAATCAATCATCCACAGTAGGTGAGGGTGTGGGGAGCTCCTCACTAACACTGGGAAGATATGGGGTCTCCAGACTCATATTAGGACTACAGTTATCTCCTGGCTAGAAAGAGAAGGGGACCTCATGGCTGCTTTCCATGTGGTTTTACTGACACCATGAGCTTTGGTCCTTCTGGATGGTGGTCACCATGCCATCTCTAATTCCCCTTGTGATGGTGAATCTAAACTGACAACATGATTAGACTGAAAACTGCCTAGGAGACTGGTAAAGCCCGCCAGTGTCTGTGCTGACCTTCCACAACTACATGAAGGCTCTGACTGAATGCACAGCTTAGCCTCTGACGGAGTCATGCGTTGACATTATTGGTAGGTGCTGAGGTAGGAGGTGGGGCCCAGTTGCAGGAAGTATGCCATGTGAGTCATGCCTTGGAGCTGTATCTTATCCTGGCTTCCTTCCTATACCTCTTTTCTTTGCTTTCTAGCTACCGTTATGTGAGCAGCCTTGGCATGCCATGCACTTTCCCTTCACCACAGACACACACTTCTTAAGCCATATACGCAAATAAATCTTGTATTTGGTCAAGCTGGTGTGAAAGTAACTAATACGCCACTCCAGTGGGGAGGAGGATGGCTGTTCACCTCCAGAGAAGCAGGGGTGCGGCCCCCACATCATCCCACTGACACTGCGGAAGGGTGGCAAAGGTAAAAGAGACTGTGTAGCATGAATGGAAACTGAGGCTGGAGAGAACGTGCAGCAGTGAAGAGCACTTGTTCTTACAGAGGACCTGGGTTCAGTTCCCAGCACCCACACGGTGGCTCACAACCATCTCTAAGTCAGTTCCAGGGGATCTGATGAGGACACCAGGCACGTACGTGGTGCACATACATACACTTACACATAATAAATAAATAGTTAAAAAAAAAAGAAAGGAAGGAAGGGAGGGAGGGAGGAAGGAAGGAAGGTGAAGCCCTCAACTCCTCCTCCGTCACTGTCCCTTAAGGGGATTAGAACATCTGCCACCTCATGGAAAGGGCGGGTGGTCTAGTACGAGTCACTGTACAGCCAGTTTCTTCTATAGTATTCGAACACTATAGAACAGTTATTACTTTTTTTCCTTCCATATTTTTCGGTGTTTGGGGGTTGCTAAGTCCCCCATCACTAATCTGGAATATATAAGGACAGATCTACCAGACACTCGGGTGTCCCCACCACATTGCTCCCAAGTCCCGAGTACTGTGTTCACAGATCTTCTCACCACCTTTCAGTCT